ACGCCAAGGAAAAGAGTTACCTTTCTGGGGGCCTCCGATTAAAATGACCGACTTCAACATCTTGACAGAAACGCTGCTTGGTGACATGCAAGACCTGGCTGGAAACTATCTGCAGCAGTAAGCAACAGCTGTGAGAGCATTTCCGCACTCACTTCCTGATTGTGACGTTAACGAGATTATCGTGAAATCACGGACCAGAGTGTTCGGAGTGAAACGGAGTCAAGCGCCTGAAAGCTTTGGACTACAAATGCTCTTTTTGAAATCACCAGAATATGCCTTTGTGTACGTGCGACAATATTTCAAGATTATGTTTAACTGCATCAATTATGATGTTATTAATTTATAGTATGCTAAATATTATAAATACTAAAAATATATCCATTATAATATCACTGCAAACTCTTATATAAATTATATCCAGGCTCAGTAAACCTTGTGTACCTTATGTGTCTCCTATACATCAAACTAAACATCTGAACTTTTTTTTTCCTTAAAACTCCTTCTTTGTGCTTTAATATTGTTGCATTATTTGTTTGTTTGTTTGTATATTTATTTTATGTAGCATACTTCTTCTAGGTGCTTCCTTTAGAGGTAGTCACAGTGGATCTTCCTCCATCTCACTTTATCTCGAGCATTCAGTTTTATCACACCAAATCTTTGCATGTCCTTCAGTACATCCATGAACCTTTTCTATGGTCTTCCTTTTTTCCTCCTGCCTGGCAGCACAATTTAAAACACTCATTGTCCAATATATATCCCCTGTCCCTCCTCTACCCATGTCCAAACCACTTCAGTCTTGTGTCTCTTAACTTTGTCTCCAGACCACTCAGCCCAAGCTGTCTCTCTGATGTGTTCATGTCTAATGTATTTCATTGTGGTCACTCCCAGTGAAAACATTGCATCTGTAAGTGTTCCACCTTCAGTTCCACCTCTTGTCAAGCCAAACATGATAACATTTTTTAATTTTTTTATATATACACCTAAGTGCTTTCGATCTAACTTTCACATTCCAACTTGGTATTCAGTATCTTGCCCATGGATACTTTGGCATGCAGACTGGATCAGCCACCCTTCAAGCAGCCACCCTTTGATCAAGTCATTGAACTACCAACCTCCTGATTAGTAGATAACATGTTCTACGTCCTGAGCTAAACCCCATACCACATTATACAAAATTTAGTCTTGAAAGACTTTGCAACCGTGTTGTGAAAACATTCTAAATGACCTTTTTTTTAGTGAGAAAATAAGAGTATGAAGACCTGGGTCTGACATATCTTTGATTACTGCAGTAGACAGCCCAAGCATATCTAGACTAGACTAGACTACCACAATATTAACTGATTATACTTAATCCTAAACCTGTAATGTGCCACAGTTTGCCATTTCTCACTTGCACTGTATTATAGCGCTTATTTTAGTTCTAATAAATCCAGTTCTACCTTTGTAAAAAACAAACAAAAACAAACAGGGTATAAAATCTGATTATTACAAAAAACAGGATTGTAATCCTACAGCTTGCTGTAATATATTCTTACTGATCATCTATTCCTTTTTTAGAACATCTCTTGCATCCACACAAAGTAGGTTATTCCCTTATTTCAGCTGAGGGAAGTTCTAGCAGTGGGGAAAATATCTCAGCTGTCAGTTTTGAATGCTTGCAAAGACAACACTTACACAGCTCTAATAGAAGAGTTTACTTTCATACTTACTCATTAAAACATAACCTGAAGTAAAACAGTCTCCCATGTGGTAGTATTCATAACTCAAACATATGCAAATAAGGTGCGAGTCTGCATCAAACAAACAGAATAACATTTTAGTCAACAATCACCAAGGGACAAGGTGCTCTGGTACAGGCTTTTCTGGAGGAGCAACACAGAAATCTGAAGCGCTTTCAAACCCCCTCAAAAGTTTAAAGATTTATTTCTTTTTCATTTTGGCCCTCTGCACATAGACAGAAACAGCGTTATACTTCCTTTGTATAAAAAAAAGACACAAAGAAGGAAAACAAAATGTGCAAAAGAGGACTTTTCTCCACTGTATTGTCACACATTTTATGCTATCAAATGTTCTTATAAAATCCTAATCTAGTTAAATTCCAGCAAGATTAGATCATAAAAACTGTACGTCAAAGATTCTTTTTAGCTCAGCTGCTGTAACGCGTCTGTTTTTGTAGACGTTTTTAAAATAAGTCCGAATTAACATCAGTTTTAGGCTAATTTGTTGTTACAAACAACATGAGCATGCATTGCAAAGATGCTTTGCAATCCTTGCAATGATTAATGTCTTAGACCCGATTCACTATTTAAATGTGAACTTCAGTGGCATGAAAATACTGAATCTATGGAGAAGAGCTGGCAGAACTGGAAAAAACTCACTTTATCGATGGGCACAGTCACGTGACTTTCCACTCAGTCGTTGGCAGACTTTAAAATGCCAAAGACTGTGAGGAGTGAGCATGTGACCAGACTGTGGGTGTAGCTGCTCAAGTATTAACATGAAATATCTATGAATATGGGAGTAAAACAATGGGACGATTCCTGCCATGATCATGACCAATAAGGATCATTGCAGTCTAATGGGATACAAGTGGTATGCAACATATAAAGGCAAAGCAATACTTTCAAACTTTCACATCATTTGGCACTTCATGAAGTTCATGAACATGTTAAAGACTGATAAATATGATTTAAATTGATTACTGTTCAAGACATCAGAGGCAAACATATTATGAGACTGGAAGAAGTATGCATGAAGGTTATACTGTGAACATGGACAAGTGCCTATAAAAATGACAAAAGTGTCCTTGAGCACAATTTTGGTTAAGACCCATTAGATGATTATTGTGGGTAAGTTTGATTAAATTCTGATCAATACTATAGAAGTAGTAATTATTGTGACTTGTGGAAGGACAGTCCATTGGCAAGATGAGCTAATAGCAGAGCGATGACAGTTTGAATACGAGAGAGACGCGATAAAGTGGAAGCTTAATAAGTTTGGGTCTGTTTTCTGAACAGGAAGCAATCCAAAAAAGCAACAATTTAACAGAAGCTGAGAGTAGTCACATCATGAAAATCATCCGATACAGTTAAAACGAACAAACGAACAAACAAGAAAAGAAAAGATAAATTTTGCATTCCAAAGGTTTTAATTGGTCAAATACACCAAAACAAAAAAAAAATATTTCTTTTGCCACAGTCACATTATAAATGCAGTCTTAATTCAATCGTCCCTTCAACATGAATTCAGTCATGTCTCACTACAGTTAAGTACCAGTTAGATCCTTCACATATTTTGTAGTTCACATTCAGGGAGTGAACAAATTTAAAATGATAACAAGAAGTTCACAAAAAATTATTTGCTCACAGGCACAAAAGAGATCTGTTCAAGAAAATATACATTTTTGTGTTTGGCCCACTTGTTTACGTTCTTTACATCAACTATAACATGAACTGTAATGTACGAATTCTTAAGGAAAAACAAACCAAAAAAAATAAAAAATAAAAAACTAACAGTACAAGTAGCTAGGGCTGTTCGATATAACGATATATATCAGATGACGATATAAAAACCTCTATCGTTTCATTTTACGCTATTGTTTGTTTCGTGGTGTTGCAAAATAAGCTGTTTACAGCAATAATTTTTCATCGTTTTGATGGTCACTGCAGTGGCTATATTAATTTATTAAAGTTCTCTCTTTCTCTTATATTTAATATAACCACACTACGGATGGACAAGCGACTGTTTTTATGCGTTGTGGTTAGCAACAACGACGGTAACACCATCGCGTGTCCGCTTGTTTATGTTCCACATAAACCTTTCACAATAAAGCTCAAAATCCTGTTGAGACTTTTCAAAATAAACTGAATCACGTGAAAGAGCAGATTATTTACGGATGAGAAGTAAAAAAGAGCCGCCAGGTGCTAAAAAATAAACCTTGGACTCAAACGTTAGAACAGGCTTTTCCCCGCAGCACGCCGTGTAATAAATATTCACAAAGAAAACGGCGGCCATTACAACTTATGTCTAAAAATGTGTAGTTTTATGCATCGGTTAAAACATTCGACTCCAGGTACATGACGCGCAGCTGGAAACACTTCACGCAAGTCGAGCTGCCCGAGATTCACAGAATTTACAGAAAATGTTACATTTTTGTGATTTATATCGTTATCGGACGATAGATGTCTTATATCGGGATATGAGATTTTGGTCATATGGCACAGCCCTACAAGTAGCCCAAACACAACCATTGCAAAGAATGAATGTTTGTGTTACTTTTTTTAAGTCAAAATAAAAAAAAAATAAAAAAAAATAAAAAAAATAATCTGCATTAATAAACTGACTTATTATAAAAAAAAAAAAATGTACAGACTTTTTTTTGTCACATTGTGCTCACTTTCACACAAGGTACCAACAGCAAAGTGCCTTTGCGATTTATTAAATGAATCCTAGCATTAATTTGGTGAATATGTTGATATCACAATATCAAATATTCACAATCAAATACTCAAATCCCAAACTGTCAGTCTTTGGGGAAAAGATAATTACCCTTCAGCATCACTGTAAGTCTGAAACCGGGGTAACAAATACAGCGTGTGTACCAAAGATTGTCTCAGAAACCTTTTAAATACAATTTATTACTTGTTCTAAAAACTACTGTTGAGTAAACAAATCAGTACCTAACATGTTAACGGTTCAGTGTAGTGCATTGTTATCACCGTGTGTTTCAAAAAAACCCTCAATAAGAAAAAAATGTCTATGCTCTAGTAATGCAAAACAATAATATTTACATCCTATGTAAAAAGTAAAAACAAAATCAGCACTGCTCTTCTCATGAACAAAAAATGACTGTAGTTTACAGCATTTGGAGAGGTAATAGAACTATTAATGAGTATTATGTAATAACGAAGTTGTGGTTACCATCCTAGCTACAGGTCTACAGGTCAGAAACTACTTAATGCCCCTTAACACTGAGATAATAAATCAAACCGTTTCTACAGTACCTTTAGAGATCAATTTATTATTAGCTTTCACCTGCAAATAGCTGCTTTTGTACCAGTGCCTGGTGCAGCTGAGCTCTGCTGTTCCCTAAAGTTTAGGACGTCTTGGTAGTACTATCTCCTGTTGTAGAGGTCTTTGCGTTTTCGCAGTTCCTCCAGCACCCTTGCCCTAAACTGGGTCCAGTCTTCTTCCTGGAATTGCTGGACACCCAGAGCCAGGTGGAGCTCTGCAGAGTGGCTGCGCAGGAAAGGATTGTACTGCTTCTCTTCTCCAATCGTGGAGGGACACTGGAAATAAAGAGCACGTCAAAACGCAGCCCACCTCAAAGGCTCTTGATTGAACAGTGTCAATCATTTGCAGAAAGATTAAAAATAAATAAATCTATCATAGAAGATAAAATAAGTGATTTCTGTTACTCCCTTCCCCATCACAAAACAGACAATGCATTTCTGCAGATGGCATCACCGTGAGTATTAAGAAAACACAGCAGCTAATTTGTTACCAGGATACACTGACGTTAATTTGGCAATAAACCTAAACAAAACAGAGACATATCACAACAGGAAAAGCTCAACCTGGATTCCTAGACATCTGCTTCCTCTTTCCAGCATCACAGCACAAAGGGATGCTTGAATAAAACTCGGTTAATTGTTAATAATGCTTGGTCTGTTCCTACTGTGACAAGCCGAAAACAATCTGTTAAGTCAGACTTTCTATCCCTTACCAATAACAGTTTAAAATCCGCCAATGAGATCTAGAATTAGCAAATGCATCAACCTTAATTTGAAAATCCTAGATGCTTTTCAGGAAAGGTCACCTTTGACTTTGAGGTCAAGGTCTCCAGGATTTAAACCTGTCCAAGAGTTTTAGTAATTGCATGGCATGAAGTTGAGAATCCTAGGTGACTTCCTTCTTGAGTTAATGCGCTCACAAGATTTTTAGAAAACTTGACCTCTGACCTCTGACCTTGAAGTCGAGGTAAATGATGTTCAAACTTGTTAGAGACTTTGAGTAGATGCAACTGTGGTATCGATTTTAAAATCCTACTTTACTTGTTAAGTTCTCGCATTCGCAATCTTGGGTGTCCACGCCGCATGGCATTTAGTTTTTATTCAAAGGACCTGCTTAACCGAGTGAGTCACAGCAGTGCTACAGTTTCTGATACATTTGGTCAAATACAAATGCAGTGTTTCAGAAGTTTAAGTCATCACCTTCAGGCAGCTCTGCTACAAGGAAAACTTTACAGTTTTCATACATGTTTTTTTGGTGTACTATATATCTGATCTTTTTAATAAATAATACTCAAAGATCAAACTCAGGTGACTGATATAAATAAGCAAAAGACTACGTGTGAAACGTGAAAACATGCAGACTGCAGAGGAAATGTTATGGTCATTCAATAAGTTTTGGAGGTGGAAATCATCAACTGGAAGCTCCAATCTTGTGAAACTGCCTTTAGAGGCATGTATTGATAACAGATAAAAAACTAATCTAAATTCAGGATGGGCACTTCACTGAACAGCAAACCTTTGCTCTGCTGCAGACTATATCACAGATGGACTCGACTGAGCCTGGAAGAAGGGAAAGCGAGAGGGCGGCATGCACTCAAGAGTGCTGTCAGCACGAACGCTGTACGCAACTGATAAGCCCTTATTTCAGGTGTTGGACAACATGAATCCTGGGATGGCTCGCTTGAGAGGCATAACAATGGTGATACATCATTCTCACCGTGCACAGCTTCTGGCCACGCTGCTGCAGCACCCACTGATATTTGTTTTCCCTGGCTGTGTTGTGCGGCTCAACCTCAGCAGCAAACAGCAGGTTGTCCTCTGCATACTCATGACCTGCGGGACAGCCAGTGGACACACAAGAAAAATATCACAGCCACATGTATAACCATACTTAAAAGCCTAAAAAAACCAAAGAATTCCCTATGCAACCCGTTCTTATGGTTTGGCTGTATATATATAAAACACTTTTTTAAAAGCAAAGACATATTAAAACCACAACTTCATCCGCAGCACACAAACATAATTTTTTGACACTGAATCAGACAACTGAAAGGATTCTCCTACCAGGCCATAATAGAGTATCATCAGTCAAGGAGCCAACTGTGTCCAGAGATGACAGCATTGTTGTTGCACTGCCTTCAAACATTCTCCCTAGAAACAATAAAGACAGGTTAACAAAGAGATTCCAATTTCCAAACAGGGTTCCTGAAGCATTCATATGGTCTAATCTTTAGTATTACCAGGATATTTTCATTACTGCTATAGTTAGATTGTCAAATTGGTTAATTGGAAGATAAAAATGTCCAATTTCTCAAAGGTCATGCGGATGACCACTAGCTATTAAGACACTATCTACTGTACAAACTCTGTATAATACTTTCAGCTTCTCTCTTACTTCTCAAAGGGGTCATCACATCAGATGGATCCACACATAGATTTTACCCAAGGCTGGGTTTGTGTCTCCTGCTGATCTCAATATTTTGTGCATAATGAAAATGTATTAACCACTAAATTGCTATATAAAATCTATTGTATATTAAAGAACATGTTAAAAAAAGCCATTGGCATTACAAGGTAACCAAAACAGGCCACTAAATATACAATACTATAATTAAGTATATATTTTAAGTGCTTTTTGACGCAACTGATTAAATTATTTCAAGTCTTATAAAAAAAACTATGTTACATTAAGTTATGCTAAGGAAATCTAATCAGCATTTCCGATGAAATATGAAAAGGTGTAATTTGCATGCAACAGTATTCAGTTAAGATGGTGCTGACTTGCATTAGCAATGTTAAACTTGCTTTTGAATGAGGTAATCGGGTTGTGAACCAAAAATGACAGATGTGAATGCAGAAAAGGCATCAGGTCAAAGATCCTTTTTAAAATTGCACTGATTGAAACACTGATGACAGATAGGTTTCTCGTATATATCACATAGTACAATTAAGTCAAAATCACGCTTCCTTGGTATCACACTTATGCATTTTAGCTGACTTTTAGACTGTGCAATCATCAGGTTCTCAGACTTCAGCAGTTTTACAGTATAGAAAAAAAAAAAGCCCACAAAAACTCTAAAAAACGTCACACCAGTTGTTTTTTTTTTAAGTTGCTTTTACTCAAGCATAACATATATTTTGATCAAATTGCCAGGAATAAGAGGGCAATGCGTAGACTTCTGTTAAGGTAACACAACTATAACTACGTGCAGACAAATTGTGCTTGCATGCATAGTCACTCCCTGTAGAGAACAATTTTGAGCCAGTAAAACCCAGAGAACCTGTGTAGAATGATTCCACATCAAACAAACTATTTCATCCTGCATTTTCAGTAACTCTGAAAAAAACAAAAAGAAGCAAACAGCTAGAATAATTCCTCTTGATCTGGTTTTCTGCATAACTTACCACATCCTGAGAGAAACACCAGGTCACCAGAGAAGAGGCTGGAGGGGGCACCGACCGTTTGACCATCCAAGAGGTAGATCATGTGGCCTACCGTGTGTCCAGGGGTAAAGAGGGCCTTAAAGCGCATACGCCCAACTGTTACCGAGTCATTGTGTGAGAGAGGGCTGTAAAGAAAAATAAGTAATGAAAAAACCTAAACCAAGAAGTGTGGAGTTACTGATTTTTAGTGAAAATTAAAAGATTAAAAATAACTGAAATAGACTTCCATTTCTGACATGTACCAGTTGAGCAAAGGTATCAAAAACGACTACCTTCCCATATTATTTTTACATTATTAGAAAAAAAAATGTGAAAAACAAAATCTTTAGTGTGGTGGTTTGGAAGTCCTAAGATAACCCTCCATCCCCTCAGACATAACAGAATAGTCACTCATGCCACGATAATTTAGTGTGAAGTCAGCTGCCACCACTACTGACAGTGGGAACAAAACAGGACTAAGTACAGTAAGAATGATTCAAAGTGAGCCAGTGTGCTATACTGTGCAAGCTGGGACTTACTGCGTGAGGCCAGGAATGTTATCAGCCGCATTTCCATAAACTCGGCATGAGCTGTGCAGCCGTTTCAACCCTTTGTTTCCCCCACTGTGGTCCCTGTACACGGATCACAAAGAAGGTTCACGCAGCAATTTAGACAATATCCACACATTACAGATACAAAGCACCTATTTTTTTTAAAAAAACACTGTGCTTATTTTAATCAACCTGAACGCAGGACTTTCAAAATGTGGGGAAAACATCTATACATACAAATGCATGGCATTCTTTTAATCTGCAGTACGGCAATAATAAGTCTAACCTCTTGTGTTAGAGATGTGAATCACATTTTTATTTTACTATACCTATTATTATATGATTTTTTAACCTTTTGTGACATGCTGAGTCTTGTATGATTATCACATTAACATATTTTTAGATTTTTTTGCCTTCAACTGTAAATTATGTCCTCGAAGTTAAACATTTTCAATATCTGTCTTATCCAATAAGATAAAGTTACCTCAGGAATTTTTTTAGCTACAAAAGGAGATGGTAAAGTACATCAAAACTGTCACCAAGACCTACTATAAATGTTACCAGTGTCATATTGAATGGGGTCAAGTTGGCAATGACATCCAATCTGTTCCTAATATTGCAGCAATTTACTGTTATAAATATTCAATAGCCACATTAAACTATTATATTTGCACTGATCAACCTTCCTGTTTTATAGGAATATAACCAGAATACAATGAGCTGGCAGCCCATGAAGTCCCTTCAAGTTGTAATCATTAATAAAGACTCGTTCAGACTGATGGCAAGATGTTGGCAATCTCTCTGCATTTATACATTTACAATCTGTCTCATAGTAATTCCAGTCAATCCAAGCCAGACTGCATCTGTTTGCAGAAAGGTTGCCTCTTATCAGGTGAGATAAGCCCTCTTGTTCACAGTATTTCCAAAATAAAATATCGATAATTGGTGTCCCTGTATCAATATAACATTGCTATGCTAAATATTACAATACTATGCTGTCTTTCCCCCCTACTCCTTTTTTATACATACAAATTACATGAAACTCACCAGTGCTTGTGTGTACATAGTATTGCTTCTAACATTACTCCTTCTGCCTCGAGGACTGCCTGAAATGAATAAAAGAAAATACAAATAAATCGGGTGTTGGTAAAACCTTCAGTCAACACTTCAGATTCATGACACATCACAGCGTTATTATACTTGTGTATTTAATAAGACAAGATACCATGGATACAAAACACACTCATTCACAACAGCTGGCTACGGACAGTCAACAGCTGCAGCTGAAGTAAAACACATGGTTGTAAGGAAAAATGACAGTGCAGAGATACCAGCTGTAAGAGAGAGAGGCTCCATTGTCAATGAGCCCTACAATTACAATCAAGCTTTCAATACAACTCAATTTTTTTGTTTACACACCTCGTACTTTTATAAATACAGCAATAATTCTATACAGGCTTTCATATATTGTTTGTAACTCACACTATTTATACATTTTAACCCCATCTATGTCCTGTATGTGTTACTAAACTGGCTTTGAACTGAATGACAATCATCACACTTTAATAGTATTATTCCAACTCCCCTAAAAAATATTTCGTTTTCTTAAAGATCTTAATACTAGATATTATACATTTCATATAATAGCTTTAAGGATCAGAGTTGTGGTACATATACAAAATAAAGCTGAACTAGAAGCAAAGCAATCATTTCTCACTAATATCAGGCGATATCTGTCCTGACTTCTCTGCAGCAACATGTTCTGAAGAAAAAACAACCTTTCCCTTGGAACTAACTACACAGTTACTGATTGCTGTTTTCAGCGCAATAGCCTAAATCTATTAACCCATTCAAAGACACATAAGTGACATCAGAGGCACTCACCTGAACTATCTGAGGGTCTGCAGGGTCTACAACGACTGCGATGCTCGAGGCTCTGTCGATGATAAGGTAGCTGTAGTTGTCAGAGAGCACAGAGATAGGAATTATTTTAACACCTGTGGGCAGAGAAAGAAATGACATAATAATTATTCGGGACAACATTAAACATGCACTAATAAAAATATCCATCTTTAATGAAACAAATGCTAGAATTTTGTACTGATAGTAATAACAATTGGTTCTATGGTATGTACAGCGTGTGACAGCAAGGCATTGTTTGGCCCAGTGTCACCAAGTTAAACCAGTAATTGTTGCATATACCATTGAACTCCACGGGATCTGTAGCTGAATGCCCTCCAGGGTAATTTTCACGAGCTTTCCGCATTTGCCGTTTGTAGTACATGTAGCCAAGTCTGGTCTTAGTGTAGAGTGTGTACCTGGGAGACAATTGGAAATGTTATGTCCCAATAGTAAAAGCTGTTAACATTATTAACCTCGCCATGCAGTTACTGTCATTTCTTTGGTTTGTTGAATGAGCACAATTGACGTAACTTCAATGGTTGGTATGCAAACGTCTCTTAAAATAAAGTTGAAGCCACTGCAGCATATGCTGATGAAAAAAATGGCATTATCGCGAGAAGAGCCTCACAGCAGAATACCAACAGCTGTACTTTTCAAATGGTCTTGACTAAATTAAATTACGTGGGATAAATCTATAGCACATAAAAATGGCTAGATGTTGCTAAGCTACGCCAAGAGAATCGCCAAGGAAACGACAGAAATCTCTGTCGCCAAGGAAAGTGGCGCCATACTCACGCTATTCGGAACAAGGGCTTCTCCGTTCGGGCCATTATCTTGCTGAACAGTTTTCTCCAAAACACCTGTCCTGTCCGTCTGTAGCGAAGGCACAAACAAAAACAGATGAAGGATGAAGTGGCTACCAGTGTTATTATCCAGTCAGGAAGCGCCATAGCCTCTGAGCGGAACGTAATGACGTATACAGCGACACGTCACAACAGTCCCCTGGTGACTTTTAGGCTCACTACCGGTGTTGTGCTCACCTGATTTCTCATGTTTACGTTTTCTTTTATGTATTAAAACAGAGTATATTATAATTTTTTCTGTATATTTTCATTATACATTTTTCCCATCACATTTTGCTTAGGTTTAGGCAGCAGAACCACTTGGGAAGTAGTAGTAGTAAATTAAATGAAATTTAAAAAAAGGGTTTTGACAGTCTGTCAGGCAAACTTTAACATGCATATGAACTAGCAAAAATACTGTGTGATTTTGCCTGTTTTATATCCAAATCCACTTTGCTTCAAGAAACACATAAAATGGGAATTTCTGTTTTTAGAATCACATTTCTTTCTGGTGTAAATGTTGAATAATTATCTGTCTGTTGTTATAACCGTATTGTAGGTTAATTGTAATGATTTTTGTAGTACAAGAAAAAATACATTGACATATAATTATGACTTACAATTACCCTTAGACAAAATGCCAAAGCTGACTAGGTATCAAGGAAGCACTGGCATTTAACTAATTGTAGAGGGAGGTACAACCAGTAGTTTGTGTTTTGGTAATATTGGTACTTTTTAACAGGAGGCGACATGAGTAACCAGTCTCATCTTTCTGAGAGTAGCAGTAACAGTGTGAGTTTCAGCCAGCATATCCAGTTACAAAGGATGACATCCTCCTGTTGTGCACGGCTGCAAATCTCCAAGGCAGGACTGAAGGACAGTGAACCCAACTCAGGCGCAAGCCACAAGGTAAGTAACCTTTTCTGCTTTGTTTTCATTTGTTTTCTGGGTGATCAGATCATAACAAACCAAAAGTGGGTCAAAGAGATTACTTGAGTGCAGTGTTGTAGTGTTTTAAAATTTGTATATAATGTATGGCTGGGTTTTAAAAATAACACAGGCTTAATTTCCTGTTCACAATCGGCAGTATGCTTGCTTTTTTCTCTTTTCCTATCTTAAAAATTCTTAAGTACAGTACTAATTTTCACAAGTAATCTGACTAGACTACATACAAAAAGAAAAATGTATGCAGTCTGGCCTTTTCAGACCGGTGAGGTGCTGTAGAGGGATTCGACTGCTCTTACAGGTGCTTTAGTAGAATAAATGAAACTGAAGGTGAGCTCAGGATTGCATATTGAAAGAAGAAAAATCATAACTTTAGATGGGGGAACTTTCCTTGGTCTCCAAGTGTCCACATATACTTCATTCTTAAATTAAACAGAATTACAGTCATTGGTTTCTACTCTCATACTTTGCGTGACCCTTCGTATATTTTATCAAGCAATAAATGTGAACACATGGCATGACTGTGCCTTCCAGACACAATAATGTTTAAGTTGTTTCAATGTGTCTTGTGAAACTATATGTTGAATTACAACCAAGAGCTGAGTGAAACTATAATTCAAGCTGGGACATTATCTCATCTTTGTTATTGCAACAGCACCAGACTGCTAGACCTTTTTTCAGCCCTTCAAAATATTGCAGTTTCATTACATGTGGCCCAATTATCCCGAACAAACGTGCGCACTTTAATTTAAAATATTTATAGTAGTCAAATTAATTTTTAATTAGCAAGTGACTCACACTTAAAGTACAAGTGTAAGGAGACCAAGGGTGTCTGCGGTGTTACAGTACATACAGATATACAGCATGATAACAAAATTACATTTTTAATGTTAAATTTCAATGTAATTTATTATTGTGAGTTCCAAGTTTTCAAAAATATGACATGGCTGTCGCTGTAGCAGGGAAAATCTTCCACACATACCCCACATACACATGTACAAAGCCAGAAATATGGAATAATACCTTTATCTAATACAGTTTTTAAACCAAAGAGGGAAAAACAGTGAGCTTTATGCACAGTGAGAGGCTTTTGTACTCAAGAACTGTGCAAAAGTATCAAAATAACACATATGCACACGTTCCTGCTCCTGACTGCCACTTATTTTTCAGCATTTACCTGCATTCTCTTTTTTATTCCCTCCTACTTTTCTCCATCGTTCCTTTTCATCTGTTCAGCGTGTCTAACGTTACCTGGTTCGTGTCGCCTGCCTTGCTGAAAGAGACAGACAGAGCGACATGCGCACAGTTTTGCATGTCTTTGATGTGGTAGATTTGCGTGGTTCCTGCGTGGTGCTTGAACCAGCTGAAAGTTCACAGCAAGCCAAAACGTCCCCGAGGCCACCAGGACGTCCTGTAGAGACAGCCTTCCTTATTTTCTTTACAGCCACTGGAAACGAGCCAGACTTTAGAATTCTGTTATTCGGTGCTGATTTCTGAGAATCACATGTGAAACACAGAAAAACAGATAATAATGTTGTGCACAAGGAGGGACTTGTGATCACCCTTTCTGAAACTAGGGTGACCACATAGTTTCCAGGAAATAATACCACAGAATTAAGCAATGCAACATACTGTGATTTACGATGTAATATAGTAGGAAGATTTTATTTTGTAATTGTGAAAATGGAAAGTCAGCAATAACTAGTGGATAGTGAAAAGATGTAAGTCTGACATAGCTTTGTACCACTCATCCTGTCTTTAGGGTAGTCCAGAAAAATGATGACATCTAAAATTGACAGTCCTCCCCCCTACGAGGAAGCACTGCATCATCCTAAGTGTGATAACTTCCCCTACCAGCCACAGCATGGCTCTCCTCTTCCCCCACCTCCATCTTACAGTCCCAGTCCTGGCTACTGGGGCCAAGGGGGTGTCTACCCGCCGATCAGCATGTGTCAAGGCCCTGGCCTTCCTCCATCTGGGATGCCCACCACAATACCGACTCTGTCTGCTGGACTGCCTGCCTCCAACCCAGGTTCTTAGCGAGTGGCACAGTCTTGAAGTAATCACACCCTGCAATATATTTAGATTAGGTGTAACAAGGATAAATTACCACTTGGCTCTTCCAAATTCTGCAGGAGAGATGGAGGATTTTCTCAGCACCCAGTGGGAAAGCACATCTGTTCGGCACGCCTTCATCAGAAAAGTAAGAGTTTGTAACTGTGTGTCTTAACTTGCTCTTTGTGCCAGTGACAATCCTGCTGCTCTGATCTTTCTTTTTTTCTTTTTTTTTGGACAGGTTTACTTAATTTTATCAGCACAGCTTGCTGTCACCTTCTCAGTTGTTGCTGTCTTTACGTTTGTGTAAGTTTCCCCATTTGTACATCCATCCACTGATGAATGTATCTGGTGAAGGGTAAGAAACACAGTCTGCCCTTTGGTGATGCCATGTATCTGCTTTCACAGTGACCCAGTGAGGATGTTTGTCATCAGTTACCCTGGCATCTACTGGGCATCTTTGTGAGTTACTTTTAAGAAACAGCCGCACAGTTTTAGTGCAATTACATCAATTGATAAAAAAAAAACACACATGTGAAGAATATGATGTATGTAATAATAATCACAGTGGTGAATCTCTCCGTAGTGTGGTTTACTTTGTGGTTTACTGCATTCTCATCTGCTGCAAAGAGCCGAGGTAAGCAAGGCCAAATAAGTTGGAAAAATTAAGTTGTTTTATTATTGCTATTATTATGGTGTATTAAAATTTTCATAAACAGTGATGTTTGTGGTTTCTGTACTTTTTAGGAGGCGTTTTCCATGGAATCTTGTGCTGCTTGGAGTATTTGTAAGTGTTGTTTATTAGACTAAGGGTCAGACATTGACACTAGTAATGCCACAGCAGATATATATGTGCAGAACTAACATAGTGTGAGGTGCTGAAGACTGAAAAAGTAAAGTCAGTAGAAAAAAGACATCTCTAAAAAGTGCTAAAAGTCACTCTGACATTTAAGACGCATTGTATTCATGTTTGATCTTGCAGACTCTTGCCTTGTCTTACATGGCCGGAGCAGTTTCAAGGTTTGTTTATTGGCTTTATTCAGGCAACAGCTCAAAACAGCACATTTTGATCCTGATGGTATATATGTGCCTTTTTTTTTGTTTCGTTTTAATTGCTACATGTATCCTTTACAGCTATTATGGAACCAAAGCAGTGTTTATCGCCATGGGAGTAACAGCATTAGTCTGTATAGCTGTGACAGTCTTCTGCTTCCAAACTAAGGTACACGGAGATGTAAACTGTCTCGCTGTAGCTCAGTAGCCTGTGGCTTGTCAGAGGATGTCTTTGTTGTCGGTGTAAAAGAACTCCTTTGTCTTGCATTACAATGGGGGCACTGAAATCCTTTAAATATTTATAACATTTTGGGATAAGATGCGAATCCAACTTCTCTGTCTGATGCAACTCGAGATACACAAGTTACATTTTTGGCTTCTACAAGACACGTTTCACACACGCACACACATATATTTCTCTTTCACCTTATTCTGATCCTCTTTCACAATAGTCTCACTGCTCTTTCATGTAGCTTGAAGCATATCAGCTTCACTTTCATCCCCTTAATGACTTGTTTCTCATCACAGGTGGACTTCACCTCCTGCGGGGGATTCCTCTGCATTGCGGCCGTTCTGCTCATGATCATTGGGATTGTTACAGCCATCGTCCTCTCCTTCCAATATGTGAGCCTGCTCTGGTCAAGTCATTTAATTTATTCTGTCTACTCGTGTTTCTCTGCGTGAGGAACAGCAGCTCCCAAGGGTGTATCTGTGTGACTGATTTCACATTCAGGAGCCTTTCTTATGTCACTCAACAGGTCCCCTGGCTGCATATGCTCTACGCTGCAATTGGAGCCATCGTTTACACTCTGGTGAGTCCACACTCACACAAAATTAGACCGAGTATTTCTTCTTGGTATTATGAGTCTGTTGTTGAAAAGCAAGCGAG